TTGTATTTATTTTCATAGAAAGGATGGTTAAAAAAGGTTCTGTTTTTGTTTGATTAAAATATATATTTTAATACATTAACATTTGTTGTATAATTTGATATATGTATCCTTTAACATAGTATTTTAGGTAATCCGTAAACAAATGTTGGTGACATCCTGGATTGGTTCCTCTTAAATCAGCAATTTTTAATTGCTAATGCTGTTTAATTTTGATTAATTTGTAAAATATATTGTTATATTTTAAAATATTGAAATTAATATATTTTTTTTAAATATGAAATATTTGTTATATAACTTTATTTCCTTATTCAAGAGTATTTTAGGTAATTTATAAACAAAAGTTGGTGACATCCGGGAATTGGTTCCTCTTAATTCAGCCATCTTCGTTGTTGGCGAGCGAGGATTTGAGATTCAAGTGGCCCTGGCATTAGCGTCAAGTGCTCGGCTGTCTTTCGTAGGGCTTCCACATAATTAAGTTGTAGCCATTGAAAGTGTGCAAAGGATTATGCTTGGTCCTCTGTACTCGGACTGCTGTCCTTCGTCCTTTTCGACTCTTCCCTCCTGGCCATTGCCATTAATTGAGTGTCATGGCGAATGCAAAATAAGCTTACGCATTTAGTTGACATAACCGACAGGGATAAGCTGCCAGCTGGTCATCCAGCTCAATGACAGTTGCACTTGCAGTCGGAGTTGGCCATTGGCCATGGCAAAACAGATTCTTAAGCCAATCTAATGGCAGGCAATTAGCTGGATTTTTTTTCTATCACTTCGAAGCAGATGTTATGGGGCAATAATTCTCTCACTGAAACGTGGGTGCTTTTGATTTTAAATTGCAGAATGGAAAGAGAGTACATTTTATCTAGGGGTGGATATATATTTAATTAATTTATGAGTAAAACGGTTTCAAGAAACGATTTACTAGAATGTGACCTAACATAAATAAAGCACAGAATTTTTGCAGTTCTTGAATTTTGTTTTGCTTTATAACCAAAAAGAAAAATAAAAGTTTCTCATGCAAAATTTTGGCTGTGACAATATATGTCAGGTAAAGTAAGTGATTGATGATCCTCTCAAACTTGATTTTTGAGCTAATCTTTAATCTTTAACAATCTGCATACTATTTTATGCATATCATTTCTAAGTTGTGTTGTTTTTATAAATTTTAGGGCTGTAATTTGAAAAAAAACAGAGCTCTAAAATTCGAACCTAACATTTTAGTAATCATAATAATTGTTTCTTTGTTCTTGTTCTTTGTTTAAAACATTTTAGTTTTTAAAATGGTTTAACCCTGTTATTGTACCTTAAACTATTGCTAGTTTTCTCTGTGCATCAAAATTTATAAAAAAAGAAACACAAGTTTACATAGCTGAAAGAATGCAAGTATAAATAATAATAGTAATAATATAAGTTGTTCCTATAAAATAAATATGGACAAAGAAGCTGAAAAGGTGGACGCATATCGCCCATCTCCCTATTAAATGACGGTTATTTCGGAGACAGGACCCTCGTGCATTTGGTTTTTGATCGATCCGCACTGCTAGTCCGACCCCGGACCCCCGCCACTTGACCCCTGACCCATCCACCTCCTGACCATGGGTCAATATTGGTTTGCTTTACTGCGCTCGGTTTGATTTTGTTTGCTCTTGGCTGGCTGCGTGCGGAGCAAAAACTTTTGCCGCAAGACTCTCACACGCGCTGGATTGTTGCCCAGAATGTGTGCAAATATCGGGGATATTCCATGGTTAAACAAAAGCATTTGCATGAAAATGTTTTACTTTTACTTCGAGTTTTGTGTGTGTGACGAGAGCAAATGGAGGGTGAAAACAGGAGCACAGGGGCTCGCCTTTATGTTTTATTTTTCAGCACTGTTGTGCAGTGCTAATTGAAGCAGATTCCTTGCAGCCCCTCGCGTAAAATGGAAAACTTAATCTGAAAAAATCAATCTGCAATAAAAATAAAATTAAAGAGACGACGGAAGGCACCCATAAAAAAGAAGGGAGAAGAAAGAAAAGACAGCACATAAAGTGGAGCCGAGAAAAATGGACGCACGCAGGACCTTTTGGCCAAAGGCAAAAGGTGTGCGTCAGGATTACGCGGCATTTCACCATTTCAGCATTTCGGCATTTCGGCATTTCGAGCGGGCGAGGGTCCAAAGGATATTCATAAATAAATATCTGCAGGCATACAAATTGATAAGCTGGCAGCCAGGTCCCGGCCTAAGACCCCCTCCCCCCCACAACACCCCGATACCCAGATACCTAAACTGAAAAAAATAATAATGTATTATATATAGGTACACAGTAAAGGAATGAATAAACAAGTTAATTTAATATCTATACCATCATGTAATAAAATTATAATAAATGGCATTAGTATTAAAATATATGAAATAATTTAAAAAATGAAGACAATGTACACATTTCAAATAATTAAACGAAATGGATTAAAATCAAAGTCAAAACTATTTAAAGTGCTGGCACTTAGTATATTTTTTAACAGTGTTGATACCCAGACCCTGGCATCTTAATCGACAGACGCTGCATACCTTTTCGAAGGCCTGCGAAGTCGCCAGTCGACATCCCGACCTCGAGTGGAATGGAGGGGGATTCTCGAGCAGATCCAAACCAAACATCCCCCGATGACTGGCTGGCTAACAGGTAAACATTGGCTACACTCGGAAAACAAGTTCGGCAAAGATTCAAGGGAAATATGTTATACAAAATTAAAAAAAAACATTCTGAGTATAAAAACTTAAATTTCTGGATCCAGTACAACTGCTTTTAAAATTAACGTTCTTTCTCAATTATACAAATAACTTGAAAATTAAAAAACCTATCAAGGTAAGCATAAAAAAAATACATTTTAACTAAAATAAATAAATAATAAATGTTAGCCCGCAGTATTACTAATAATTTGTATGCACTAGTGTCAGTCCTTTAATTTTTAACTTTTTTAAGCTGGTAAAATCCACATTTTATTAAGATTAAAAAATATAGAAATATCGCAAAAATAAATTTGGAATGGGTATTTATTATAGTAAAAAGAATTAAAAGAACCAGGTTTCCAAAACCATTTTTTTAAGCTTAACCGTGTGCGTTTTCTTTTGCAGCATTCTAATGCCGTTCGTCCTTCAACAGGCGCTGCTCCTTTCACACGCAACTCCCGCCACCCAACTCCTCCCCAACCCCCTAATTTTCCCTTTTCCACCTCGCATTGGCACATTTTCTTTTCGCTGCCTCCTCAGCTTTTTTTCGCAGCACTCTTCCTTCCGTGGCTTCCTTCCATTTCCACACTCTTCTTGGGGGCCCATTGAATTTTATTGTTCGCTCAAATTGTTTTGGTATTCAAGCTTAAAGCACGCGACTGCTTCTATGCCTGTGGTTGGTCTGGATTGGTCTGGGTCCTTTTGCTCCTTGTCCTGCCACTGCTACCGCTCCTTCAGTTCTTTTTTTCTTCTATTTTTTTTGTTGCTGCTGCAGGTCCTGCGATTTTGAGCTGGTGTGCGTGCGATGTTTTTAGTGCTGGGCGATGTTCTCCTGCCTTCCAGCGTATCCTGTTGCTTGCGAAAACGCAACCAGTTGAACATTTCCAGGCAGGACTCTCTGGGCCTCGGCTTCATTCGGCTTTCAATGTCGTCCTTTGCCACTCTCTCTCACCCTTTCTCTCTTTAACTTTCTCTCTCAGTCTCTCGGTGAAAGGCTTTCTCTCGCCGTGTTATTTGGCTGTTGCTTGGCACATGTTTAACGCGCAATTATTTTGGTCCTGTTGCGCTTTTTCCACCGTCTGCTTGCCAGTATGGGTGGCCACCGCTTAGTTTGTATTCAGACAAAGTCAACGTGAAGTTGCTAGGATAACGTAATTAAGTCTGTTATTGAGCACTCAAAAATACACTTCATTTTAGATTATTTTTTTTGATAAGAATATCTTTATATAATAAAGATTTCATTTTAATTTTAATAACAAAAATTAATAATTAAAAGTTAGCGTATTGTTTTATTCATAGTTTATAATTATATTAAATAATTTCGTGTGCTTTGAATAAAGCCCTTTCCACTTCGTTACCACAGCAAACTGTCAGTTAATTCTAATATCTAATGCAAACTCATTGACTTTTCTTTCTATCAATTTTATATCAGAAACTTGCATTATAGTAGCAAATTTGAAACACTCAAGATTCTTTATACTCTTTTAAACCCTATAAATTTGTACAATTTGTTAAGCTTAAAATCCTTTTAAAAGCAACTTAGAATTTATGATTAAATATTCATTTCTTCTTTTCTAAAAATTAAATATTTTCTACTTTGTTATTGAATACAATATGATTTTTGATTTTAACTTGTTTGACTTAAATTTGTCCTATCCTTGAACTAAAAGCGCCTCTCGTAAATTATCCACCTAATATTATATCTGTCTCTAGAAACAAATATCTCTACAACCAGTTGGCTATTTCCAAAATCTCCATCGACATGATGGCCATCATCATCATCGTCATTATCATCACATCATAGCATCGACATCGGCTGGGCATGCAACAATTATGAAAACTCTCCACTCGGGTACACTTGTCCGCTCGTGTAGACCCAAAATCGGCATGTGGATGTGGATGGTGGCTCTGGCACTGCCACTGCCACTGCCACTCGTTTGCCATAGAGAGTGCGCACCTTCTATGGCCGCGAACAGTGCGTGGGCGTAAAGGGGGCGGAGCATGTGGAGGGCGGGAAAAAAGCGACGTTCGCAGCTGCCTGCATCCGCATCCAGGGAAATCGCTTAGCTGTTGCTTTCGTGCGACGACATCGCAAGGTGGAAATTGATATTACTTTTTAATGCTGGGCCAGCTGGTGGCAGGACTTCCAGTGCGCGAAAGGGACGGGCTGCATGCCACTCACTAGCAGTGCGACAGAGAGAGAGAGAGAGCAGGAAAGAGAGAAAAGGACGATTGGTAGAGAGAGTGGCTTTTCCGAAGGACCAAAAGTGCCAGCCTCGTCACAGTTCGAGTTGAGCCGTCTCGCGAGCAGGACACAAAAACGCGGAGGCTGACACATCCTGTTTGACCAGTGCATTTTGGGTAACCAGGACCAGAACCAGAACCAGAGCCAGAACCAGGAACCCAGGCTATATAGAAGCCATAGCTTTTCTAACTTTCCCGGCCAAGGTGTGCGAGTGCGCGAGTGTGGGTATCCTGGCTGTCTCTGTGTGCGTGAGTGTGTCTGTGCGTGAGTGCTGTGTGTGCTGGCCAACACCAAACAAAAGCCATAATAAGTGACGAATAAATTTTAAAACGCGCGCTTAACACAAGCTACCTGAAGATATATACATTTTTTCCCCTCTTAAGTGAAGTCGCTCTAAGTTTTGAAAAGAAAATAATATTTACAGGTGAGTGTTTAATCGGTGTGTGTGTGCCACAAAATCGTTGTTATGAAAACAAACTCGCGTGGCAGGCTAGCAAATAGTTTAATTTCCGGTCTGGCCATCAGGCGCACATACGGCTTCAGTTTTATTTCCGCTCGTGCTCACTGCTCAGTCACATGTGTACAAAAAACTCTTAAATTAATTTCCCATAAACTAGAAAGAGCTTTAAAATTGAAGTTATTGTTAAAAGTTTCAAAAGTTGGGAACTAAAGCATCCGTTATCTCGTAATTAATGTGGCAGAAATTAATAATGTTTGTAGTGCTTGTAATGGTTTTCTAAAAAAAATTGTTTAATAATACTTCTACACATAAATTAATTAAATAAACGAGATTATTTGTACAATACAAGATTTATGTTAGAAAAGAATATTTACCTTGAGTATTTAATAAAAAAGTTGAAAGTTTTTCAAATTAGTATTTGTATTTGCTAGTATTAATTTTGTTATCATTATCATAAAAAATATCATTACTCAAAAGCTATTGATTTTCTTATTAATAATGTGCTTAAGTATATATAAATAAAGTTTTTGTAAGCAGTATATAAATAGTTGGCAATCCTACTACAAAATTATTATCATATTGAATATATACACTTAGCAAAATAAAAAAAGGCTTGAAAGTTGAATGATTTACAAACCCTTGCCTTTTTACTGTCAATATTTGATGTGCTATCAACAGTTTTGCTAGCAAATCAAGTACCAAATTTTAAAAGAAAGGAAAAATAAAACATAAAAAAACCATTACTCAAAAGCTATTGATTTTTGTTCTCCCCCCGATTAATTCGAAATGTATTAACCAGGCTTATGTCTTAGCCCTTGGGGGCTTTGAGAAAAGACGACGAAGCAACACCTCGCGGGCTGCGAAATAAAACAACTTAATGAAGCAAGAAATTGAAAACATTATCAAGGCGATTAATTATTGATACTTTGATGTTGTGCTGGGCCCCGTCTAATTAATTTATAATTAAGTTAAGGATTTTCCCGGGGCCTTCTCGAGTTTCCCCGATGCTCCGGCTTTAAGTTCTCAGGATTTATGGTGCGGAGCAACTTTAAGCTGTCTCCGGCACCTGGTTGCTGTTCGATTCACTGCGATTGAGACTTTATGAACGTGACCCGCCTGCCGTATCGATGGCAATCGGTTTTGGGCTTGGTATGAGGACTGGCTAATGCCTCCCTTTTGGCCAGCCAACTGTCATTACTCTTGGCCCTAATCCCTGCCAAAGTTTGTGCAGCTTTACCTCTGAAGGATCTGAAAAAGCCAGAACAGAAAGCACTTTCACCTGCCTTTTCGCGTCTGGTCGCAGTCTGCTCCAAAGTGCTTTTATTATGCCATTTTAATTTAGATTCCTATCAATCAGTAATAAGCATTTTGTGCACCGCCACACAGACAAAACAAAAGCATAAAAAGGCGAAGAGATATAAGCCATTAAGGTCAGAGGCATTAGCCTAATATCCGCTTGATTTTTATTACGAAAACTTAATTTTATCGCGCTTCACCACTGAGTGGAGAACGTAAAGATTGCTTTTAAAAATTGAATTTTCCTCAATGAAAAATGACCACATTATTTTCCGATATATATTTATTACGTAGGATAGAATCTGAAGTGCAAGTCATTGGTTTTATAAATTTAAATGTGGCTAATATTAGAAGAGGCTTATATTAAAACAAATATTTCTAAATTGCACTTACAAATTTTTTTCATATGGAATTTTGAATTCATAACAATTTTTATCCACTTGTTGTTGTTGATACATAAAATATGTAAAAGTGGCTTAATTGATTTTAAAAATGTATTTAAATCCAATACTGGTAATTGCAGAAACTTGTTTTTCCATTTGTGGTTTGAAGTTTTTTGTTTGAATGCAAATAAGTGGAAGTTTGTAATTGAATTTGAATAAGCATTTGTTGAACATACATAGTAATGGCCAATGAATTTATTTACCCACCGTAGATTAATTTAATTTAATTTAGTAAGCAAAAAATTAATTATGTATGCGCAAAATTCCCTTTCAATACCAAATAGCTATTAAAAAAGTGCTTTAATTGTTAATTTATGCGAAAATTTTAGTGGTAGGGAATGTGGTTTTTTATTTCTAATTTAAAAGTCACCACAATATTTTAAAAATGTAGATACCCTTAATATTACTCATTTTCCAGAGGGTAAAAACATATTTTTGCCATTTGCAGGTTGAAAGTCAAACCCATATTTTACAAATTCATTCGATTGTTTTTACAAGAATCACAATTTGTATTGATGTTTTCTCGACCAACGTGTTTGTGTCTATCTAAAGGAGTAAACAAAGTTGTTTAGTTTTCCTGTTTTGAGCGGATATGCAAATCAAGCGGCAAAACTCATTTCAGATTCCCCACAAAACCGCCAACAAAAAGACAAGGGAAAAGTTGGCCGAAAACAACAAATAGTCGGGGAAAAACTGGAGAAAAAAAGAATACTCATCCGGATGGTTTGCATAAATTTGCGTCTTATTTTGTTGGCAATTTATATGCGCAGCCGGTTGACACACACGCATTTTAATTGAAAGCAAATAAAAGACTCTATAATACATAATATGACAAGCCATAATCCTGACAGCAACAGTTATGCATGCTGACAGCTCGCAGCGGAAAATGTGGGTCGGGAAAAGCCGGAAAGTGGACAGCAGGCAAATGCTGACAGGCTGGCCAGTCCCTATGAACTTAATGGCATTTTAAACCACTGAACGATGGACATTTTTCCCAGCATGTCTGTCCAAATGTATTCATTAATGTCGTATCCAAAAGTCAAAATGTTTTAAATGTTGAACACGCTCGGGGAAATATCCTTTCATCCTTTTCTCCCACTCAACCACACACACACACACACACACAACAGGATTAAGTCCTTTGTGTTTTTGGGCCCTGCTTAGCCGCCTTTCGTTGCGCTTTAATCAAAAGCAAAAATTAATTAACTTCATTCCGAGGACTCATCGCATGGTGAATAATGAAGGACTCCCTGATTGTTTGTTGCAAAATACCAAATTGCCGCTTCATTTGCACAACAATTTTTAATAAAGCAGCAAAGTGAGCGAATTTTTTTTCCCCCATCCGCGACTTTTGACCGGGTTTTCCGGACGCAAACAAACTGGTTGGACCGAAAAAAAAACAAACTCCGGGCCAAAGATAAAAAACGCGTAAACAAATAACTACCGACATAAAGCGCATAAAGTGAATGATGCTGGCCACAGGCGCAAATATTTATTTTACATTTTTAAATAAGTCGCTCTCATTTGTTGTATTTGGTTTTATGCCGACATCCCATTTTAACGGCTGTGAAAAATAATAACATTTCAAACGTGATATTTACAAGATTCTTATCTGTTTGAATTTTAATAAACTCACTAATTCTGCATCTTATTAACAAAGAAATTTTGTTGATTAAGAAAATGGCTGTGCAATATAGAATTGTATAGTAAGGCAATGTTTATTTAAACTTTAAACTAAGCCTTTTACATTTGTTAAATGTATCATGTTTGCCTTTGTGCAGACAATATAAACATAGTATACAGACAAACTGGCAATAAGAAAAATTAGTTTTTGTCATTTGTTTTTTTTTTTTTATTCTGAAATGATTATTCCTATTTATTTTTCTGGTATTAAATATGTATGATGGGCTATAAGTCGGCAAAAAAAAAGTAAATTAAGTCAACTTGCTGAAAACAATTGTAAATACTAAATAATATTTTTATTTGTAAGCCTTTAGCTTTAAAGCTTTAGTGGAGGAATTTACAATTTTTAAAATGTAAATTAAATTATTAATGTTGTTTAGTATCCTCAGCAAAATATTTAAGAGTAAAGTATATCTTGTCTTCGCTCTGATAAAGAAACAAATATATTTACTTTCGCTATTCTAAGATTCTAAAATTTCTCACCCAGAAGCATCTATTTTTTTTGCTGTGCACAGGAAAATAGTTTGCTGGCAGTGGGGAATGTAATTAATTGAATTTCGTTGGCATGTCCACTCATCACGGTAGTCAGGCAGCCAGTTTTTGCTCCCTTTTTTGTTTGTTACGCATGCAAAAATGTGCAAAGTGCAGGCTTATGCAAAAAAACCAAAAGGTTCTAAGTGGAAGGCGTAGAAGGAAAAGCCCCTTTTCACATTTTCCAGCATTTTCCAGCTTTCCACCAACACAGGATGCTGTCATGCATTCGCAATCGCTCCGCCCACATGTCGTTTGCACACTCCTCTATTTACTTTCTGCGGCTCGACGAATTCTCAATTAAAATGTTTACCCACAGTTCTGCCAAGCAGTTTGAAGCCTGAAGCCGCTCTTGTTCACTGATAATTTGCATATGTGGATGCGTGACTGTGTCCCGAAATACAATTTCTCGTTAAGGTCCCATAAAAAAAGCAACTATGCAACGGCGTGAAAAAAAGTGGTTGGCTGGCAGAAATAAATTACACTTTTTCGCTTGTTTTTAATCCATCAAAATGTTGAATTATTCTGGGAAAATAAAGTGAACTTTGAATGAATTAAAGTCAGCTTTAAAATAAATTACTTTTATGTCTTGTAGCTTTGACGGGATTTCGAATTTTCGCGCAAACACAAAATTAATTGAACTGTAGTAGTAGTTGGGTAAAGAGTTTCCAAGGTTTTAATTTTTCTACAAGAAAAATAACAAAATTACTTGCTTACATCTTAAAAAACTACATTTGTCTTACAGCAACAGCCTAAGAATATTTTTAATATTATAAGTCTATTTTAATAAGATTTTTATTATTTCTTTCATTGTTTAAGTCTTATAGAGCAAATTTAAATCAAAATAGTTTTATTTAGTACCGAAAAATCAGCGGTATAATCTTAAAATTTATTTTGTATTAATATTTGTTATAATAAAAGCACAAACAAATAAATAATTTTTTAAGACAAACATTTGTTTCTAATGAAAAATTATTAAGAAAAGTAACGATAGTAAAGAAATATAATTAG